AAGAAACAAATAGTATAATAACTCCATGCTAAAAAAAAGAGTCTCCGTTATTTAATTAATTCAATATTGATACAAAAATAAATTTCAGATGGAAAGAACAGAAATATAGAAGGCAAGCTGCCTTTTCACAAGCCATAGAAGTGGGTGACACACAAGCACAACACAACGATGGTTTTGAGTTGGATTGCTGTTTTGAGTTGGATTGCTGTTTTGAGCTGGATTGCTGTTTTGAGCTGAATTGCTGTTTTGAGTTGAATTGCTGTTTTGAGTTGGATTGCTGTTTTGAGTTGGATTGCTGTTTTGAGTTGGATTGCTGTTTTGAGTTGGATTGCTGTTTTGAGTTGGATTTCTGTTTTGAGTTCGATTTCTGTTTTGTTAGGTAACATCACAAGTCTATCTAGATGATGTGCTTGTGTGGGTGACACACAAGCACAACACAACGATGGTTTTGAGTTGGATTGCTGTTTTGAGTTGGATTGCTGTTTTGAGTTGGATTTCTGTTTTGAGTTCGATTTCTGTTTTGTTAGGTAACATCACAAGTCTATCTAGATGATGTGCTTGTGTGGGTGACACACAAGCACAACACAACGATGGTTTTGAGTTGGATTGCTGTTTTGAGTTGGATTGCTGTTTTGAGTTGGATTGCTGTTTTGAGCTGGATTGCTGTTTTGAGTTGGATTGCTGTTTTGAGTTGGATTGCTGTTTTGAGTTGGATTGCTGTTTTGAGCTGGATTGCTGTTTTGAGTTGGGTTGCTGTTTTGAGTTGGATTGCTGTTTTGAGTTGGATTTCTGTTTTGAGTTGGATTTCTGTTTTGTTAGGTAACATCACAAGTCTATCTAGATGATATAAATAAATAGATGATGAAGAGAAGAAGGTAGGTGTTTGTTTATAGTTGTTAAGATGATCTGATCCTCGGCAGTATTAGTTCTGACTCCTCGCATCGTATCGTACGGACAAACTATGTCGTTTTGTGACCTCGAGTCCCTGATATACGTTGTCCTCCATTCTTTTCAACTTAAGACCCCCCCCCACCTCCACCCCACCACCACCCCCAAATGTATTTCCCAACACATACAGTAGGGTGCTGAATACCAACCAGTTTTAGACATCCACTGATCGTGTTGCACATAAATAAAATGTGACAAACAGTGTTCTTTTGTAATATGTATATACATATAGACATATATATGTATAGATGTATATATCTTTGTGTATTATATAATATCTATATTTCATTCAATTTCCGTCAACAAAGTGAAAAGTGTCTCAAAAAAATCCTAAAAGTAACAAATGTGACAAAGGGTCCAGCTGGAGGCCATTCTATACTGTTATCGTTTCATTTTAGATTATTAGTAGTAGCTCTTTAAAATTCAGTATTTACAAAAATACACAACAAAGCATGCCGATAAAATAAAATAATATAGTACATTATTTATAGTTTCTTTTAAAAAGTTCATTATTTTCCAGTGATTGTGCCATCATAGCCCGCACTGCACATCTTATTTTTGTTCCTTTTCTTTTCTTTCTGTTCAATGATCAACGCATCGTTCATCTAAAACAGCACATCCAAAATGAGCTGAAGCATTGTTTGCTCTTATGGTTGTAACGTCATTGATCGATCAAATCAGGAATGTATTTGGTTTTAAGTGTGCAGCAGCCAAACAGACGGACGTTATCTGGAGATGTGTCTTTATATTGTAAACAGACCTCTAGATCGTAATATAACAGACAGCCATGGGGATATCAGGTACGGGTACAGGCAGTGTTCAACACACCACAATGGCTTCAATGGTGCGTCCCTAGATACTAGGTTGTTGTCTGACCCAGGCATCCGTTTGTTTGTTTGTTTGTTTGTATAGAGGACTGACCATTACATCACTCCTGTGTAGAACAAAACTGCAGATACCTTAAAGAGGAACTGTTATTGTTATGTCTCGACTCATCTCACCTGCCTGTTACTCACAGAGATCTAAATCATCTCGTTGGTCCAGCCTGGCCTGGCCTAGCGCTCACTCTCGTCTCGTTTCATTTGAGTAGCTTCAAAGCTGCCTTTAAAAACGCCTCACGTGTTCTTAAAGGCACGATTCTACTGTGAATCATGAATCATGACTTGATACGAGTTGATTATCCGAGGCCTATATGATAGAAGTCTAATTGACTCTTATTCTGAAGAGACAGAGACCTGTGAGAAACTACGGTTGGACGGTTCACGCCACTTTGACTTTCCTACATCCCCAGGCAGATTCTTCATTTATCAAACAGACAGCTAGGTGACCAATTAAATAATAGCCTGCTAGCACATGACATGATGATGCAAGCCTGGGTCCAACATCCACACACTATACACAATGTTGAAGAGGTCCCACAAGGCGCAATGATACACTGACAAACATGGGACTTTCAGCACTCACTCCTATGAAGACAAAAGCACTATTTTCCCTGCTGCTCCGGCTCGCCATCTTGACTTTCTCTGATCATTTTCATTCATGGCAGTCAGTCTAGAAACTGTGGAGGGTCCGGGAGAGGTTCTGTTAAGTCTCTCCATTGGTCCATTGTTATACCATCCCCCACATCCCTGAATAAGCCATCCAATCAGATATGTTTTATTCTCCACAGTCCAACCCTTAAGCCTTCTATGGCCGACCGTCTTTCAGTCCTTCAGTACATAATTCCAGGAGTGACTGAGCATGTCCTGCTGCTCTATGTACCCTCTATGTCCCCTATATGTACCCTCTATGTCCCCTCTATGTACCCTCTATGTCCCCTTTATGTACCCTCCATGGTCCCCTCTATGTCCCCTCTATGTACCCTCCAGGGTCTCCTCTATGTACTCTCTTACTTCTATTTCACTTTTATGTCTCTATGCTGCTTTATAGATGAACTACATTTTACATTTACATTTTAGTCATTTAGCAGACGGTTTTATCCAGAGCCACTTACAGGAGCAATTAGGGTTAAGTAACTTGCTCAAGGGCACATCGGCAGATATTTCACCTAGTCGTCTCTGGGCTTTGAACTACTATGCAACATACATTCTCACTGCTTGAAATTCAAACTTTCTTCTGAGAACATTTGCATTGCATCAGAGGACATCCGATTCAAAGGAGGACATCTACTTACTTCAGAGCTGGCAACTCAAAGTGTCTGGAAAAGGCTATCAATGTACCACTGGGTCACAGTGACCGATAGTCTAATAGGGAACTAACTGAGTGACAGAGGACAGAAGTGGATAAAGTAAAAGTGAAAAGAAGGAATCTATGGAAGCATCAATATATCCTTAGTACATTTCTAACAGCTGTTTCAAAATCTCACAGAATGTCTCGCTCTTTCCTGTCCGCAGACAGACAAAGCATTGGAGGAGAATTTTGAATTTTAACAAACTCATCTGTGAAGGATATGGATATACAGGATATGGCATCAAACATTGCCTGTTCGTACTGCCACAACAACAAGAACAACAACAACAACAAGAGGGAGTTGGTTGGAGACCACAGGTAAGGGTGGTAACCATAGCAACACAGGTAAGGGTAGTAAACATTTGATGTAAAAACCAGGGTCTGTTATTAAACCCCAGATTAGGTTTCTTTAGAATGGTCTGAAAAGTGTCTTCTAAATCTGTGCATCCTCATCCTTATTCTGAAGATATATTCTTGATAGAACTCAGCAGTAACTATGCTTGTCCCTCTCAGAACATAAAAAAACCTTTCTAGTTTGTGTTTTTCTTAAATGTGCCAGAATAGAGGTTTGCCTCAGAGTGTATAACTACATCCTCAATTAAAATCCCAACGGGCTGCATAAAAAGATCGGTCTGGCAGTTGAAAAGCAACATTATAGTGAACGGTAGGTCATACCACTCTATTCCGTCAATATTGTATATATAGACGTATATATGTCATATATATCAATAACTTTCCAGTTATATTTCTCATATACATTTTTCCAGTGGACTGCCACAAACATATGGTCAAGCTATTGTAGTAGACAGAGAATTAGTGTATTGTGGACTATGATTACATCATGCATGATTCCTGATCAAAACATGCCTTCATGCAAGTCATATCTATGCATTGAACGAGCACAATAATAATTATTTATCTGAGACTCAGTCGGTCAGAGCGAGTCCCCACCCTTCTTCAGCCCAAGTCTAAACGCTGACTTATGACCCCTACCCAGTGTGACAGTGTGAATGCCCATGTAGAAAATGTATTTTTCATAATGTCAGTATAACAAAGCGAGAGGAGATGAAAAGAGACTAGTGTGACATGGGCTAAATGTTATTTTTTCTCTTTTTTTTTTGCTGCTCAAATAATGTAAAGATAGAAGTATATTCAGCACAAACAAAGTAAAAACCGTTTGTCTACTGTTCTGGGGTTCTTTCTTTCTCTAAACTTTCATTCTTCGTATTTAAAACTTGATAAGACGGTACAGGAAGTGGATGTTACAGAGGCCCTGTCAGACTGCATAGTAGAACAGTTCTACAAGGTTCTGTAGTGTAGGTTCCGTCCCGTTCCTCTCCTGAGGTGCTCACATAGTGGTGGACATTTCGCTGCAGGGGCTCGTCCACACAGGGTGCTGGCAGTCAGAGACTCTTTGCTCCAATAAATCTCCCTCCATCTTGTTTGCAGAGGTTTCTGTCCCTTCTTTTCGATGATCCTGAACATATAATATAGTATGCCAATGGCGGGCACACTTTTACTATTATTGAGTTATTATTGATAATTATTTATATTATCGTGGTTCTTCCTCACATTATTTCCAAGAAATAAAGAAGAAATTCATCATCAGGCAGTAAAATCATTTAGTGATAATGATTGTGTTCTAACTAAATCCTTATCGTAGGCAACATGTACATCGCCATCGGTGTTTTTCTTCAACGACAAAGATCCTTAATTTTGTGTTAAATTGAAGTCTGTAAACATTTTTTTGTGTAGTTTTCGTACATTTGTTGGGCTCAGAGTCCCTTCTGGCAGTGTGTGGTACTGTAATCACTGAAACCTAACTAACACTTTGATTCCCGCTCCTCTTTTTGGTTTCTGTCCTTCTCTTTCCTCTCTGCCTCATTCTCCTCCTGTTTCTCCTTGTCAGGTTTGGTCACGCTGTCGTAGGAGGGGAGAGAGGCGGTGGAGGGTGTGCTCTCTTTCTTCTCCAGGTTGTTGGTCCCTCCGTTCTCCAGCTTGGTCTTGGGCCTGCGCTTGCAGACGAAGCCCCGTTTGAGGAGGTGAGCGCGGTAGGCTTTCTGGATGCAGCGTGCGGACACGTCCTCCTGGCGCCGGCGCAGCGTCGTGGTGATGGGCTCGTAGGAGACCTTGGAGGGGTTAGCCTGCACGAAGCGCTCCTCCATCTGCGTGCGTAGCATGTCCAGCTCCCCGCTGTCACCCAGCACGCGTTTGGTGAAGGCAAACAGGATGTCCAGGCAGTGGATGCGGTCGCCGCTGACCATGGGCATGTCCATGGCGATCAGCTCGATGGTGTTGGGTTTGGGAACGCGGAGAGGGTGCTCCAGGGTGTCGGCGAAGTCACCCAGTTTTGCGAAGGTGATGAACTGGGAAGCGGCGGGGTCGAATTTCTCCCAGATTTCATAGAAGGTCTCAAAGTCGTCTTCACTGAGCGGGTCAGCGCTCTCTTCTGTCGCTACACTGAAGTTCTCTAAGATGATGGCGATGTACATATTGACTACGACAAGGAAGGAAATAATGATATACATGACAAAGAAAAATATGCCAACTGAGGGGTTTCCGCAGTCGCCTGTCGCAGGTGCACCTGGGTTCTCCAGGGTTGGGTCGCAGTCAGGAGGGTAGTTGAGGATGGGGAGCAAGAGACCATCCCAGCCTGCAGACGTGGTGATCATGAACAAGCAGATCATGCTGTTCCCGAAGGTCTCAAAGTTATACATGTCGTCTATCCCGGCCTCGTGTTTGACATAGCCGAAGTTGGACATTCCGAAGATGCTGAAGATGAACATCACCAGGAAGAGCAGGAGGCCGATGTTGAACAGGGCAGGAAGGGACATCATCAAGGCGAAGAGTAAAGTCCGTATGCCCTTGGCCCCTTTGATCAGACGCAGGATGCGGCCGATTCGAGCCAATCGGATGACCCTGAAGAGGGTCGGCGATACAAAGTACTTCTCAATGATGTCAGCCAGGAACATGCCTGTTGAGGAAGAGGGTGGTGGAGACAAGACACCCAGAGACAACACAGTTAGCAGACATGAATCAACTAGGGCTGTGGCAGTCATGACAATTTGTCAGCCGGTTATTGTCATGCAAAAGACTGTCGGTCTCACGGTAATTGACCATTAATTAAAAACATAAACATGTTTAGCATCTGTAGGCCTCCACGTATACAAGCCGCTGATGGGCGCCTTTGGAATATCTACATTAAAAAAAGTATAATAAAAAAAATTAATATACACCACAATACATCCATTATTTATTTTAGTCCGGTCTAAAGAAACATTATGATATGAAGAAAATGTATTTCAGAAGAACAGAATATGAGTTGGCCTACTGTAGGCCTATGTTATCTATGTCCCTGTGAGTTAGCATATTAAGTAGCTATGTTGATCGTAAAAGTTATCATTTGAAACAGGTCCTACAGTATATGCTAGATTTAGAGTTATTTGGCAACTTTAGTTGTGAACGATACAAACCTTAGAATGTCTTAGAAATGAAAACATATATGGGCTGCATGGTGCGACTATAGGCTATTGACGATTTAAGACAGTAGCAAAAGAAAGTGGCGCTCTGTTCCTTGCGTCAGGCTGCACAGCTGTTTTCTCATCAAGTGATCATATTTTCACCCATCAGACTATTCTCAATTTAATCTTGTCTATATTTATATGTACAATTTATTTCGATTTAGAATAGCCCATTTTCAAATGGGCAGGAACAGTGGCGGGGGAAAAATACATGTCATCCGTATGCACTCCAATAGCGAATGGAGGCCACGCGCTTTCTGCCGGTCCATTTTGTAGGCTACTTCGGTTTTATAGAGGAGCATGTGCTTTGAGAAATAAATACAAGAACACTTATTTCACTCCACGCATCAACTGTTTGAGGAGCATACTCTCGCTGCCTGACAGGTGATATTCCGCCCAAAGTCTGCATGCCATGGGCTCTCCAACATTGTTCCTGCAGCTACCCAGTGCTTAATTTGGGAAACCAAGGGAAATCTGTTCGGGAACATCGATAGTAATTTGTTTTTGCAAGTAAACATATTTCACTAAATTGTTGACAGCCCGTCTGCGTGCTCGAGAAAGGAATAAAGGAGGGAGAGGAGGAAATGGAAACGAATGGTGGTAACATATTCTGTATAGCTAAAGGTAATGTGTCACCCAATTTATTATGAAAATGTTTTTAAAAAATCCCTATTACTAGGCTATTCAAAATCAATACAAATTCACTATAATCATAGGCTACCTGTAAGCCGCCTTGCACAATCAACGAACCAACAGCATCGCCTAGGGCTATACGTTATCTCCCAGACTCATGGATATACATTTTGGAGCCTAGCATAAGCTAACCAGTCGATCCAGTATGCATAATAATACAGTACTCACTCAGGCCATTACTCGAATTAGTTTAATTTTGGATTATAGGCTAGACCATTTATGTACCATAGACATCTTAAATCAGTTTTGTTTTATGTTTTTCTGCCATTTGTAATATGCGGTAGGCTATTTACATTTTAGTCATTTAGCAGATGCTCTTATCCAGAACGACTTACAGTTAGTGAGTGCATACATTTTTCATACTGGCCCCCCGTGGGAATCAAACCCACAACCCTGGCGTTGCAAGCGCCATGGTCTACCAACTGAGCTACAGGAGACTATGTATTGTATAATGGCACAATCAGAATTTTTATTCAGGTTTTTCTTTCAGGCTTGGGCTCATAAGCCTATGCATATGCATAAACTATAATATGGTATGGGTGTTTGGAATTAACCATCACCTTAGAAAGCGTTGTCCATTTCATTGTGTTAGGCTTTGAAACAACATCCACAATAACCATGTTCACCACTGTTTTAACATTCTGTTGAACTTCTTTCTTCAAATTGATCATCACAGTAAGAGTTTTAGAAGTACTATAGGCCTACTGTTTTGATGATAAGTGTTTGATGTGATTTTCGACTGCATTTGCATTGATGCCAGAGTGGTTAGAGGGACAATAGAGCCCTGAGTACCAGGCCATTAGGACCTGATGGTAGTTAGCAAATTGGTTACTACTACAGATTACTGTGTCTCAAAGGTCACATGGAATTTTACTGCAGTCATGACTCATGACTGCTGGTGTGGTGGTAATACAGTCACTGCAACAGCCTAGACTCAACCCAATGTCTACCTTAAAGATGTCTCTCCCCTTCTACAGTTTTTGGAATAGTGATAGTACAGATGTAGGATCTTAATTTGACCAATATTGTTGCAGCAAAATATCCCTGCGACAACAGGATTTGAAAGTTTAGTCCATAATGTTGCTTAAATCGGTGGTTAGGCTATTAGCTGACCAAAATACGGCTACGTGAAAAGTGCGATACTGTTAATATAACCGTGTGTAAGTGTGGGTTTAAGGTGAATTTATGTAAATCACAAAGCTCATCTGCATTTCCTGCAGCGCAGGAAAATTCTCAGCAACAAAAAAGAGTGATCAAATGACACCTGTAATTTATTGATCTGTTTGACAGAAAAGCTGCTTTCTGAAATCCCAAATATACTGTGTATGAAAGAGTACTCAGCAGAGAAATCGAAGTCTGGCTGAGTCTATGGAGGCTTTCTATGGATTTGTACAGTATGCACCTGAAATGGCACCCTATTCCCAATACATTGACCTACTTTTGACCAGTGACCTATGAGTCCTGGTCAAAAAGTAGTGTACTCTATAGGGAATAGGGTGCCATTTTTAGACACTGCCTCACTCCACTCACCCGCAATGGACAGGATGACCACAACCGTGTCGAACACGTTCCAGCCATTGGTGAAGTAGTAGTGGCGCAGGGCGAAGAGTTTCAGGACGAACTCGGTGGTGAACGCCACGATGAAGATGAAGTTAACCCAATAGAGGATGTTCTCCGTCTCCTCCGACTGGTCGTCTGTCTCCACCATCATGGTGACCATGTTGAGGCAGATCAGCATCATAATGGAGATGTCAAAGACTTGCTGGGTCACAAAGTCAAACACCAACCCTTGGATCTTGTTCTGTGGAGACAAGGCGACAACAACAGGGCACCATGCACACACACACACACACACACACACACACACACACACACACACACACACACGTACGCATGCAGAGACATACACACACAGACAGACACAAGAACAACAACAACAACAACAGCACACATTTTGTTAATCGCAAGGAAACACTACCACAATCGATTGAAATTAATATTTCAGTGTTAACATAATACAAAGTGTTACGTCAACAATGAAATACTGAAAATACTGATTTCAATATGTTGTGGCAGCACAGGAGGTTGGTGGCGCCTTAGGACGGGCTCGTGGAAATGGCTGGAGCGGAATATGTGGAATGGTATCAAATACATCAAATCCATGGTTTCCATGTGTTTGGTGACATTCCATTGACTCCATTCCGGCCATTATTATGAGCCGTTCTCCCATCAGCAGCCTCCTGTGTGTGGCAGTGTTCAACACCATAAAGACCTAGCCTGGTCCCATACTCTATGTGTTGAGCTGGATAAACAAATATGGAGTGAATTTTATTGCCAATAAAAGTCCATGAAAAAGCCAGGCTAATAAAGGCAGGGAGCAACAGCCAACCTGTGGTCTGGGAATGGGTTTCTGGGGCTTCTTTGAACCCAGTTTCTTCATGGCGTTGTAGTACTTCTTCTGTTCCTCTGTCATAAAGATGTCCTGACCTCCAAAGTATAGGGACACACAAACATTTGGTTACAACCAACCCTAACCCAGGGTTTCCCAAACTCGGTCCTCAGGACCCCAAGGGGTACACGTTTAGTTTTTTTTGCCCTAGCACTACACAGCTGATTCAAATAATCAACTAATCATCATTTGAATCAGCTGTGTAGTGCTAGGGCAAAAAAACATAACGTGCACCCCTTGGGGTCCCGAGTACCGAGCTTGGGAAACGCCCTAATGCTAAAGAATAGGGACAATCAACCCCAACCCCAACCCTAACCCTAACCCCAACCCTAACCCCAACCCTAACCCCAACCCCAACCCTAACCCTAACCCCAACCTTAGCCCCAACCCTAACACTAACCCCAACCCCAACCCTAAATTCCAAATTTTCCTAATTGAAAAGCATTGAAGAGAAATGGAATTGGAATTTCAGTGTACTTCCTGAACTAACTGAAATTGAAATGGAATGGACCACAACCCTGCTTTCAAATGTCATTGAGCGTAACACTTTATATACAGGAATAATGCTTTAAAACTTGTTATAAGCATGTTTGAGCCTCTATGTTATACAACAAGGCGTATAATAGGATTTAGCAAAAAGAGACAGGGGAGGAGGAGGTAAGAAAATAGGTCTTATCTTTTTCTTCTGTTGGTTGAAGTTGTCAATGATGACACCGATGAAGAGGTTGAGGGTGAAGAAGGAGCCAAAGATGATGAAGATGACGAAGTAGATGTACATGTAGATGTTGTCTTCATAGATGGGCTGGTCCTCCACCCTTCTGGAGTCTATGGCTGCGTACATGATGTCCATCCAGCCTTTGAATGTCGCCTTTGGAGACAAAGAGATACGATTAACTTATAATATTCAAAACACCAACAAAAAAAATGATATAAAATGTAAAGTCTCATTTTAATATATATATATACAGCATATGAAGAAAAAAAATCTAACTCAAACCCACATTTGATGTGTGTCCTGGAGAAGGAAAGGAAATGTGAACATGTGGACATAACAGAAATGTGGACATGTGGACAAAACAGAAATATGGACATGTGGACATAACAGAAATGTGAAACAGAAATGTGGATGTGTCGACAAAACAGAAATGTGAAACAGAAATGTGGACAAAACAGACATGTGGACATTTGGACAAAACAGAAATGTGAAACAGAAATGTGGACATGTGGACAAAACAGACATGTGGACAAAACAGAAATGTGGACATGTGGACATAACAGAAATGTGGACATAACAGAAATGTGAACATGTGGACAAAACAGAAATGTGGACAAAACAGAAATGTGGACATGTGGACAAAACAGAAATGTGAACATGTGGACAAAACAGAAATGTGGACATGTGGAAAAACATAAATGTGGACATGTGGACATACCAGAAATGTGGACATGTGGACAAAACAGAAATGTGAACATGTGGACAAAACAGAAATGTGGACATGTGGACAAAACAGAAATGTGGACATGTGGACATACCAGAAATGTGGACATGTGGAAAAACAGAAATGTGGACATGTGGACATAACAGAAATGTGAACATGTGGACAAAACAGAAATGTGGACATGTGGACAAAACAGAAATGTGGACAAAACAGAAATGTGAAACAGAAATGTGGACATGTGGACAAAACAGAAATGTGGACAAAACAGAAATGTGGACAAAACAGAAATGTGAAACAGAAATGTGGACATGTGGACAAAACAGAAATGTGGACATGTGGACAAAACAGAAATGTGGACATGTGGACAAAACATAAATGTGAACATGTGGAAAAACAGAAATGTGGACATGTGGAAAAACAGAAATGTGGACATGTGGAAAAACAGAAATGTGGACATGTGGACATAACAGAAATGTGAACATGTGGACAAAACAGAAATGTGGACATGTGGACAAAACAGAAATGTGGACAAAACAGAAAAGTGAAACAGAAATGTGGACATGTGGACAAAACAGAAATGTGGACAAAACAGAAATGTGAAACAGAAATGTGGACATGTGGACAAAACAGAAATGTGGACATGTGGACAAAACAGAAATGTGGACATGTGGACAAAACAGAAATGTGAACATGTGGAAAAACAGAAATGTGGACATGTGGAAAAACAGAAATGTGGACATGTGGAAAAACAGAAATGTGGACATGTGGACATAACAGAAATGTGAACATGTGGAAAAACAGAAATGTGAACATGTGGAAAAACAGAAATGTGGACATGTGGAAAAACAGAAATGTGGACATGTGGACATAACAGAAAGGTGGACAAAACAGAAATGTGGACATGTGGAAAAACAGAAATGTGGACATGTGGACATAACAGAAAGGTGGACAAAACAGAAATGTGAACATGTGGAAAAACAGAAATGTGAACATGTGGAAAAACAGAAATGTGGACATGTGGAAAAACAGAAATGTGGACATGTGGAAAAACAGAAATGTGGACATGTGGAAGAACAGAAATGTGGACATGTGGACATAACAGAAATGTGGACATGTGGACATAACAGAAAGGTGGACAAAACAGAAATGTGGACATGTGGAAAAACAGAAATGTGGACATGTGGAAAAACAGAAATGTGAACATGTGGAAAAACAGAAATGTGAACATGTGGAAAAACAGAAATGTGAACATGTGGAAAAACAGAAATGTGAACATGTGGAAAAACAGAAATGTGGACATGTGGAAAAACAGAAATGTGGACATGTGGACATAACAGAAAGGTGGACAAAACAGAAATGTGGACATGTGGACAAAACAGAAATGTGGACATGTGGAAAAACAGAAATGTGGACATGTGGAAAAACAGAAATGTGGACATGTGGAAAAACAGAAATGTGAACATGTGGAAAAACAGAAATGTGGACATGTGGAAAAACAGAAATGTGGACATGTGGACATAACAGAAAGGTGGACAAAACAGAAATGTGGACAAAACAGAAATGTGGACATGTGGACATAACAGAAATGTGAACATGTGGACAAAATAGAAATGTGAAACAGAAATGTGGACATGTCGACAAAACAGAAATGTGAAACAGAAATGTGGACATGTGGACAAAACAGAAATGTGAAACAGAAATGTGGACATGTGGACAAAACAGAAATGTGAAACAGAAATGTGGACAAAACAGAAATGTGGACATAACAGAAATGTGGACATGTGGACATAACAAAAATGTGAACATGTGGAAAAACAGAAATGTGGACATGTGGAAAAACAGAAATGTGGACATGTGGACATAACAGAAATGTGGACATGTGGACAAAACAGACATGTGGACATGTGGAAAAACAGAAATGTGGACATGTGGACATAACAGAAATGTGAACATGTGGACAAAACAGAAATGTGAAACAGAAATGTGGACAAAACAGAAATGTGAAACAGAAATGTGGACATGTGGACAAACAGAAATGTGGACAAAACAGAAATGTGGACAAAACAGAAATGTGAAACAGAAATGTAGACATGTGGACAAAACAGAAATGTGGACATGTGGACAAAACAGAAATGTGGACATGTGGACATAACAGAAATGTGGACATGTGGACAAAACAGACATGTGGACATGTGGAAAAACAGAAATGTGGACATGTGGACATAACAGAAATGTGAACATGTGGACAAAACAGAAATGTGAAACAGAAATGTGGACAAAACAGAAATGTGAAACAGAAATGTGGACATGTGGACAAACAGAAATGTGGACAAAACAGAAATGTGGACAAAACAGAAATGTGAAACAGAAATGTAGACATGTGGACAAAACAGAAATGTGGACATGTGGACAAAACAGAAATGTGGACATGTGGACAAAACAGAAATGTGGACAAAACAGAAATGTGGACATGTGGACAAAACAGAAATGTGGACAAAACAGAAATGTGGACATGTGGACAAAACAGAAATGTGGACATAACAGAAATGTGAACAAAACAGTAATGTGGACAAAACAGAAATGTGAAACAGAAATGTGGACATGTCGACAAAACAGAAATGTGAAACAGAAATGTGGACATGTGGACAAAACAGAAATGTGAAACATAAATGTGGACATGTGGACAAAACAGAAATGTGGACATGTGGACATAACAGAAATGTGGACATGTGGACATAACAGAAATGTGAACATGTGGACAAAACAGAAATGTGGACATGTGGACAAAACAGAAATGTGAAACAGAAATGTGGACATGTGGACAAAACAGAAATGTGGACAAAACAGAAATATGGACATGTGGACATAACAGAAATGTGGACAAAACAGAAATGTGGACAAAACAGAAATGTGGACATGTGGACATAACATAAATGTGAACAAAACAGAAATGTGGACATGTGGAAAAACAGAAATGTGGACAAAACAGAAATGTGGACATGTGGACAAAACATAAATGTGGACATGTGGAAAAACAGAAATGTGTAGCGAGAGAGAGCGAGAGCAAGAGAGACAGAGACAGAGAGAGATAGAGAGAGAGAGAGAGAGAGAGAGAGAGAGAGAGAGAGAGAGCGAGAGCGCAAGAGAGCAAGACAGAGAGAGAGAGAGAGAGAGAGAGAGAGAGAGGGAGAGAAAGAGAGAGAGAGAGAGAGAGAGAGAGAGAGACAGAGAGAGAGAGACAGAGAGAGAGAGACAGAGAGAGAGAGCGAGAGATCAAGAGAGCAAGACAGAGAGAGAGAGAGAGACAAAGAGAGAATAGATAGAGAGAAGAAGTATAAAGAGATAGAGAGAGAGAGAAGAGAGAGAGAGAGAGAGAGAGAGAGAGAGAGAGAGAGAGAGAGAGAGAGAGAGAGAGAGAGAGAGAGAGAGAGACAGAGACAGAGACAGAGACAGAGACACTCTCACCACTTGAAGCAGAGCCAGGTATCCGGCGCCAACATTGTCAAAGTTGATCTTGACATTCTTCCACCTGACCTCAGTGAAATTCTGTCCAATGAGGGCCATGCACTGTGTCTTGTTGTTGACCTCGCTGGCATGAAAGTACTCCTCTGCTGTCTGGTTGAAACAGTAGTAGTACTTGCCCGCAAACAAGTTGACTCCCATGATACTGAAAATCAGCCAAAAGATGAGGCAAACCAGCAACACATTCATAATGGAGGGGATGGCTCCCACCAGGGCGTTGACTACCACCTAGACGGGGGAGACAGGAGGATAGGACAGCGTAAGAGATTGAAAACTCCATACTCCATGATACCTATCAATCCCCCCTCAGAGCAGCTGCATACTGTTATGGCATCATAAAGGAGAAAGTGGCATCAAAAACGAATTTGACATGTACTATGTTCTATTATTGAGTCATATTACAAATTGAGTTTTAACGTTATTATGATATATAACGTTGTATAAAGTATAGTATAGTTTACAGTACAGTTTAGAGTATAGTTAGAATAAAATTTAGAGTATGTCTATATATTGTAGTATAGTACAGTATAGTATTATGCAGTACAGTATAGTACATAATTATTATAGTACAGTATAATATAGTATAGTATAGTAACATACAGTGCATTCGGAAAGTATTCAGACTGATTAACTTTTTCCACAATTTGTTACGTTACAGTCTTATTCTAAAATAGATTTTTTTTTTTATCTTCCTCAATCTACACACAATACCCCATAATGACAAAGCGAAAACAGGTTTTTAGAAATGTTTACAAATGTATACATTTAAAAAACAGAAATACCTTATTTACATAAGTATTCAGACCCTTTGCTATGAGACTCGAAATTGAGCTCAGGTGCATCCTGTTTCCATTGATCATCCTTGAGATGTTTCTACAACTTGATTGGAGTCCACCTGTGGTGAATTCAATTGATTGGACATGATTTGGAAAGGCACACACCTGTCTATATAAGGTCCCACAGTTGACAGTGCATGTCAGAGCAAAAACCAAGCCATGAGGTCGAAATAATTGTCCGTAGAGCTCCGAGACAGGATTGTGTCGAGGCACAGATCTGGGGAAGGGTACAAAAACATTTCTGCAGCATTGAAGGTCCCCAAGAACACAGTGGCCTCCTTCTTAAATGTAAGAAGTTTGGAACCACCAAGACTTTTCCTAGAGCTAGCCCCCCGGCCAAACTGAGGGCCTTGGTCAGGGAGGTGACCAAGAACCCGATGGTCACTCTGACAGAGCTCCAGAGTTCCTTTGTGGAGATTGGAGAACCTTCCAGAAGCACAACCATCTCTGCAGCACTCCACCAATCAGGCCTTTATGGTAGAGTGGCCAGACGGAAGCCACTCCTCAGTAAAAGACACATGACAACCCGCTTGGAGTTTGCCAAAAGGCACCTAAAGGACTCTCAGACCATGAGAAACAAGATTCTCTGGTGTGATGAAACCAAGATTGAACTCATTGGCCTGAATGCCAAGCGTCACATGTGGAAGAAAACCAGGCACCATCCCTACGGTGAAGCATTGTGGTGGCAGCGTCATGCTGTGGGGATGTTTTTCAGCGGCAGGGACTTGGAGAGGAAAAGATGAACGGAGCAAAGTACAGAGAGATACTTGATGAAAACCTGCTCCAGAGCGCTCAGGACCTCAGACTGGGGTGAAGGTTCACCTTCCAACAAGACAACAACCCTAAGCACACAGCCAAGACAACGCAGGAGTGGCTTTGGGACAAGTGTCTGAATGTCCTTGAGTGGCCCAGCCAGAGCCCGGACTTGAACGCGATCGAACATCTCTGGAGACCTGAAAATAGCTGTGCAGTGACGCTCCCCATCCAACCTGACAGAGCTTGAGAGGATCTGCAGAGAAGAATGGGAGAAACTCCCCAAATATAGGTGTGCCAAGCTTGTAGCGTCATACCCAAGAAGACTCGAGGCTGTCATCGCTGCCAAAGGTCCTTCAACAAAGTACTGAGTAAAGGGTCTGAATACTTATGTAAATGTGATATTTAAGTTTTGTATTCATAATAAATTTGCAAAAATGTCTAAAAACGTGTTTTTGCTTTATCATTTAGGGGTTATTGTGTGTAGATGAATGAAGATTCTTTTTAAAAAAAATCCATTTTAGAATAAGTCTGTAACGTAACAAAATGTGGAAAAAGTCAAGGGGTCTGAATATTTTCCGAATGCAACAGTGAAAGAGCAGTCTCAGTTCTATTATAATTAGAACGAATGGTCTCTGATCTGATCGAGAACACGGCTAGGACTGCCCAAGGGGTCTGCGCATATAAACACACCCCACTGTCCTTTAGAGTGAGCATAGAACTGTCATAAACTAACTGAACTACAAGTGTTTTGCCATACCAGCATGCAGCCTCATATTCTCCCAAACATTCACCCCTCTCTCTCTCTCTCTCTCCCTCCCTCATCCCCCTTAATTTTTTCCTAAAACATCCTCTACCCAGACTAACCCAATCATTTTAACGCAATGCAATGGAAAGCATTTTGAGCTATAGTGTAAGTCCTAGATGGCACCCTATTCCCTATACTGTATAGTGCATTACTTTTGACCAGAGCCCTATGGGCCCAGGTAAAAAGCAGTGCACTTTCTGCTTAAATGTAGTTAACTATATTGCGAATAGGGTGCCATTTCAGATGCAACTCATAGACTACTTCCCACATCCATAACACCAACGGGCTAGCCCCTATACAGCTTCTATCTCCTCACTACCCAGCGTCCGGCCTGACCGGCCCTTCCATACACTGATGTGCATAGTGGGGTTGACCGCTAGCTCACTGACAGTGTTAGGCAGGCCAACCAGACCAGACCAGACCAGCAGCTGTCAGGCACACAGCTGAGCTGAGCATGCATGTCGTCTGTTTTTAGCAGACAGACTTGGTTTGTGGAGCCATATTCCCTCCTTGTATACAGACAGACAGCAGACGGAGCTTCAGGAGCAGCATTCTCTCAGCAATGTGCAGGACCCTGTATTGATTATTTAAAGCTACAGTCAGGGATTTGGGGAGCTGTTCAATAGTCATTTCAATTCTTGATATTTACCCATTGGTTCTTGGAAAAATATGACTTGCACAACTGGCTGTCTTTTATCATAACCCAAAATGTAGGTACACTCTTCTCTTACAGTTAAACATGTTAGTGAGGACATCATCGGTACTCTCCTCTCTACAGTATGTGTGTTATTGGAAGTGTTAACTACAGGCCTTTGACTGTTCCTGTTGAATGATTATGGCATATGGAGTTACTGGCTGCTAACTGGTTGCTATGGCACTAGGGTTGGATAAACACCACATGGCCACAATGGACACTTCAGGTTGTTGGGTGCCAATTTCTTTCTGTGTGAGTAACCAAAACAGATGATAAAAAATATCTTACTGAAATAGCTGAATTAGAATACATATAAGCCACTTCGGCTACTCATTGTGCTTGGACCTCTAATAATACATGTAAGAATCTATCATGAAAAAATACAAAACTGTAAAGAGAAAGCTACCTTTTGAGAGGAATGATTACAATGCGTAAAAACGTAGCAGTTATACCGCATCATGACAGTAATATCACACCTCCCCCCTCTCACATACAGATATAGGATCTTAATTCGATCACTCTTTGTTTTTGCTGAGAATTTGCCTGCACTACAGGAAATGCAAACTTGTGGTGTATTCAAGGTTTTAAAAGGCTTCTAAAGTTTGTAATTTCCACTTTAAAATGTCAGACTTGATTTGGCTTAATGAAAAATGTATCAACCCTTACAAAAAATGTCTATTCATTATAATCCACATTTCCTGTTGCTGCAGGATTATTTTCCTGCTGTTGCAAACTGGCTCAAATTACAATCCTATAGGAGAACACATATCACTGCACCCACGCTGAGAGAATGAACTACTTGCTTCCGCTGAGGCAGTAGAACTTAACTTGTTTTCAAAGATTCAAAGTGTTCAAGGTAATATTAGCCATGCCTTATATAATACAATTGGCCATGCCTTATATAATATATATCATATATCAAATACATTATCAAAACAAAGAGGGAAAATGGCATTCAAAAGTGCATAATGTGCATCTGCAATTTGAGTACATGCGTGTTGTTACATGGCATTGTGGTGCAATCTCAAGAACCGTTCAAATCGATAAATAAACATATAGAGAAATGTTTTGGATAGAGAGATAACCGGCCAAAATGTTGCTTGTCTATATATTATATATCTATCTGACAAGTGGATTTTACACTTGGTTATCTTCGGACACAACATTTAAGAACAGTCAAGAATGGATGGTGTAGAGTTAGAACTCAGACATCTGTTCTAAGGTTCTAAGGTCTCTGTGTGATTGGTCTGTAATTCAGGATGTGTTTCCTGCTAACGTGTCTGCTGCAAGTCTGACATGATGCAGCTAGAAGGTATTTACATTTTTAAGTTAAAAATACAACACATGTTTTTGTGACTAAACATTCAAATGCAACCAAAGACTAGAGAGCAAGCTCATTAGAAAATCTATAGTAGACAGATGTAAGGATGACTTGGCGACTGTGTCATTCTTGTACATTGCATTGCTCAAAAAGTAACAATGAGACTACAAAGCAGTATAGTAAAAGATAAAGCATTTAACAAGTGACCATAGGCATTCAGATAGGTAGGTACAGCCCATTGCATCATTGCATGTTAAGCATTGCAATATATTCAAATGTAAAGCTGTGTTATGCTGCTCACTCTCAGAGCTGTCGACTTGCATTGGCCTCCACCACCACACAACCTTCCATCACAACGGCCAGAAGCTCAAGTCAGCAAGAGTTCTCAACATTCTCTCCAGAATCTCTTTCATTATTATGTTTGTCGGGTGTCATCTCTCCATTGTCGTAATTCCCTATCCATTTACTTACCACTTCGACTTCTCCTTTTTATTTAAAAAAAAAAAAGAAAAGGAAAAAAAAAGGCTAATGAATTGATGAACATAGACAACATTGTTTTGAATTGGTGAGTAAGTACAGGCAGGATCTAATTATATTGTGTTTGCTTTTTCACTGCTACAGGTATTAGCCTACTGGGCCACCGTCACCTCTTACCAATCACCCAGTGAATGAGATCGTTCATAAGGGTAATGCAATGTTTGACTACAATGTTCTTCTAAGAATGTACCATGATTTTTTCACCCAAAAATGATATTGGAATTTTGACCAGTCTAGCTGCCATAGAAACATAATCCTTCTAATTCTATGCTAGTCTCA